GGTATATACTAGTTCACTGTATTCATGGCACTGCGGCCCAATGCTCGCTAAACCTTTCTAAAACCAAGGATGTTACGTCCAGCGAGTATAACGTAGCAACCTTTTTTTGTCAAATAGTGCTCAATGTACATGCCAATGGCTGCTAATGGAAAATGAGAGACAGGAGAGTTCGGCTTTTACTTTCTTGCGGCTTGCGCTTGGTATCTAGTTCCCACCTTTAACCACCCCGAGTTCATTCATGGTATATACTAGTCCATTGTATTCATGTCACTGCAGCTCAACGCTCGCTAAACCTTTCTAAAACTAAGGAGGTTACACCCAGTGAGTATAACGTAGCAACCCTTTCTTCTCAGATAGTGCTCAATGTACATGCCAATGGCTGCTAATAGGGATCGCAGCGTGCGCGTTAACTAAAAGCCGAATGCTCCTGTCTCTCATTCCTCATTAGCGGCCATTGGCATGTACAGTAGGGTTCAAAGTTATAGGGAACACTTGCGTATGCAGCGAATTTGTATTTCATCATCTTGCAAAAGCACAGTGGCTTATATTTACACAAAATTGTGATGACTAATTGTTCTGGCTCGTTTTGACAGACTACTGCCCAGCATAAGCATTGTTTACTTATCCACTTGCTACTAGAAGTCCTACCAATTTAACGGTGCTCATTGTAGTGTTCCCTTTAACAGTGGACGTTACTGTACATTGAGCACTATTTTTTATTGTTCAACAACGCACAGAAGAAATCTCTCACCGGCACCACCTAGGAGGTAAAAAATGTTATACTTGTTACACACTACAACGGCTACGAGGGACGAACGAGTGCCGCTATAAGGAGCTTCGCCCCTAAAAAATCGCATCATACTCACGGAGTGATTGAGGATGAGAGGGCCGAAGAGTTCATTTTTTCGTCCGTGCCTCCGTGCATGCGCCTGTTCGTGCGTGCGTGCCTCCATCCGTTTGTACATTCTTGCTTCCGTCTGTCCGTGTGCCCTTCCGTCTTTCTGTCCCTCCGTCCATCCGTTGGTATGTCTGTCTGTCAGTCTGTATCTCTGTCTGTATGCCGATTCGTCTGTCCATCTGTCTGACACTCACGCCAGTGCCACCCGCTGAGTAATTTATACAACTAGAGGGTTACGAACCGGTCACACACATGCATGGACAGACCCACGACTTTAGGAGCTTCGCCCCTAATACCGTACGACAGTTGTGTCACGAGCGGTCCCAATTGGCTGTGCGACCAGTTACGCCATTATCAGCGTGCCATTGATGTGCTGAGGATCAGACGTGCCATTGGCTGCGTTCTGAGTGACGTGGTTTGCCACAGTCGCAGCCGCGGCGCCGAGCGCGCACGCATCGATCTCTACTGAGACGGTCCGCATGGATAAGTCATGGACAACTCGAGAAGAGTGCCGACAGCGGAAACGTGAGAAAGTTGGCATTCGCCGGGCCGATGCTGCAGTCCGGGTACAAGAACAGGCCTTGGAAGTCGAGTGCAGGCAGCAACTGCATACCGATGATTCGGCAGTCTTCCAAGCCACGCTAAATCGTGAACTGGAATGCAAGCGCTGGTAGTGGGCAGATTGTACCTACCATAGAGTTTCCCAAAATTAACTAGAGGGCACTCTGGCGCTGCGATCGTTCAGCGACCATGGGAATGATGGGTAGTACACACATTTGCCTAGTCTTCGTACTTGCGGGCGGCGAATCGTGCTTGCGGCTTCGTTTATTGATGTGTTTTAATTTTTGTTTTGAAAGAAAGAATGAACGCTTTCGAACTTAGGGACTTGATTCGAAATAATAAGCTTAAAAAAAATAAGGTTTTGAAGCGCGAACGGTGAACATTTGCTAATTTACGTTTTCGTGAAAAAACAGCTCCAAGCCACATGAACACACACGAAGCCAGAAGCTGGCCAGAAGTACGAAAATTAGACATATGTGTGTACTACCCATCATTCCCATGCTCGCTGAAGTGCCGTGTGTTGCAACTCCCATAGACACAAGCGCCAGAGTTCCCTCTAGTAATTACTGTGGGAAACTCTATCTTACCAACCACGCCGCCGAGTTAGCTCGCGATGTCGAATGCCAGTGATGGCACAACGGCGTCAACGTGACGATTGCGGGAGCGTGTTCGCCGGGGCAAAAGCCCGCTCTCGACAGGAGCTTCTCCAACGGCACTTTGGCTTCGGTTGAGACGTCTGTGACAGCCTGTGGTTCCATAACAACCACTGTAATTACCGCACTGCGAACACAATGTGTGGTATGTAAAATAAGCACTGTGGTATAACGTGTCTCACCTCATTAAAAAGCACGAACATGTAACTAATAATTTGAAAACTTCATCCAGCGTTGTGTTGAACCCAGTGCTAAACACGCGGGTGACACGTTTCAGTGACTTCTCGTAAATCCTTTCTACGGAGTGCTCGGGTGGGGATTTTTGCTAATTTACGACGTACACTTGCTCATTTTTTTTGCTTGGAATGCTGTGACGGCCGTCCGAATAAACCTGATTGCGGCAAAATTTGACCGAAACAAGCAGAGTTTTATGCAAACAAACATTAGATATGCCAGAGAACACGGGAGAACAAGTCTTAATTATCATACTGTTCGACGATGATGATGAATCAACAGTTATTAGGCCCAACATTGTTGGTATATTGCGCACAGGCACCAGACGGGGCGGTTCCCTAGTTGCGGACCCGTATGTATCCAGCAGCTCCTGGCCCCTGTCTGTCAGTGCACGCGGAGTCGGTAGGGCGGGGCTGGATAACAAGGTCTTCCATCTCTCAAGGTGTTCGAATGAGCAGTTCCTCAGGGGAACTCCGGCGATTTTTCGATAGTCACTCAATTCCGTGTTCTTGTCGATACCGTGGTGATATGGGCCAAAACAAACAACGGGAAGTCATTCAAGTTTATAGAAAATGAAGTTCAATGAAGCCAATTACTTAATCCCGCTTGTAAAAGCAGAGCGTCCTATTTATTTGACAAGAGCGCTTACTCTTTTCTAAAATTCCACCTCGCCCAGTAGACGGATGCAGTGAGCGTCATCGATTTACACGTCCCGGACGGCTCCGGACGGCCCCGGAGGCCAGCGCCGCATTCGTTTTTTTCGGGGACCAACTGGAAGCTCCGCCCACTGGTCTGGGATCACTCGGACGCATGTTCGTTTTTCGCGTGCCTGGCGGCCTGCGGGCGGCCCGGGACCGCCCGAACAATTTCTTTCGGGCAGCTGGCAGACGACAGCGTGGTGCGCACGCTGTGCGGCCATCTTAAGTTAGACACGGGAAATTTTAGATGCGCTCTTGCTTTCTCTTTGCTTTTCTGTCCGCTTCTCGCATGTTTCTGGATTTCGCATTCTTAGCGCACCCAGTTCTTGTCATCGGTGTTCTGACCCACGTCGAGCATGTGCGTATTCCCGAAGGTCGGGCAAACACGCGTTATGCTCGCTAGGAGAAACAGTGGTGGAACGACCGCACTGGTGTACGATGCGCACGCGCTTGAGTAGTTCACTTACAGTAAGTTGCATCAAAACAGAAATAGGTATAATTCACTACCTAACTGCTGTTTAGGTTGCAAATGAGTCAGCGTTGTGGCCTATGTGACAGCTATGGAGGGATCAGACGGCATAGCCAGGCGTAGCAGACGCCACAGCGGATGCAGTCAGCATCAAGCGCGCAGATGGCCCGGGGCCGCTCGGGCTGGCTGGGGACATTTAGATCACTTGCATGTGACGTAGCCACCTGTGAGCCGAGGCGTCCGCGGGCCGTCCGCGAGTGATCCGGGACTTGGTAAATCGATGAAGCTCAGTGGGTGCCTTCTTCTGCCAGGTGACGACGACGCAAGCACAGTTCGCTTTTGTCAGCTGCATATTGTGTTACTCGCAGTTCAAATCAGCTGTTACACTAGCCATGCACAATACTGAGAAACGAGGAGATGGAAAAGGGGTATAGGTCCAATGCTTCGCATGCCGGCGGGTCGAATCCAATAGGGCAATGCTTCCGCGCTGAGATAGTAGCATGCAGCTATCGCTGAACTTTTCACTGACAAGTTGAGATGAGCTGGCAAAGCTTGATTCCGCGTCCGATGCCATCGCGAGCTTACTTTTCACTCGATTGTGCTGAACTTGTGCCCTGGCGTGCCATTCCTCGTGTCGTGACGTCATCGTATACCCAGCTTGGCGTAGCTGCCTGTTACCATTTCAGTTTTGACTCATAGTTATCTGCTTTATCAAAATAATTGACGAGTGTCTCAGCCAACTGAACCGCAGTAGCTGTTACAGGGCTGCTTATGCCATTTCAATACGACATCATCTCAGTATGGTCGAAAGTGCACCGGAGTTCCCTTTAACAGCAACAACGAACGTGGTTGTTTATTTTGAGGTACTTTCAACTAGGAGAGCGGTCTTTGGGAGGTCATAAAACGGTGCTACGCGAACATCGCCGATTGTGGTTGTCAGTGAAAGAGAAAAAGCAATGCAATAATTGAACACTGGCCAGGGCAAATGTGGCTGTCTCAAATAATTTTGATTACCAAAATTATTTGAGACCCAGGAAGAACCGGTATTCTCACAACGTTATTTGTACAGATATTCGCAGGACATTATTAAGAGTAAAGAAAATGTATTAACTTCAACGAAACATCACAGTGGATCAACTTGGATTTAAAGAAATTCAGAGCGAATTGACTTGCACGAAAACAAAAATAGAGTATCAAGCAAGAATGAGTTCAGTGATATTGAATAATCGAGAGTGAATCAAATGTCTCCAATGCGAGTCAATTGGCAATAATGTGAGTGAACACAGGATAAGCGCTCAGTATAACGTGCAGCACTAGCAATTTAGTTGTAATCAGAGGACTTCGCAGAGCATCCATTTTCTGCTCCGACCTCAACGTTAGGGAAAGAACCTGGTGCCTTTCTTCCATCGGTTTGGAGTTGCGGCCTTAGGCGCCAATTCAAAATTTCGAAATGACAATGGCGTAGGTTTCCCCATATGAATGATTACCTTGAAGCCGTCTGGCGAATCGCGATGCAGTTTCATGGGGCCTCCTGGTGCACCTAGCTTGCAAATAACGGTGCTTGCGAGACAAAGGGCGAAGAAACCAAACAGTACGTGCTTCTCCATTGATGTGGGCAACGAACAGATGCGATTCACAGTTGGTCAACCGCTTATGGGTTCGTCGATTGCGCGCGCGCACGCACGCACGCACGCACGCACACACACACACACACACACACACACACACACACACACACACACACACACACACACACACACACACACACACACACACACACACACACACACACACGCACACACACACACACACACACACACACACACACACACACACACACACACACACACACACACACACACACACACACACATATATATATATATATATATATATATATATATATATATATGACAAACTGAATAATTGAAAACTGGCAGGAAACAACATGTCTGAAATTTCGTGCAATTGCAATCTCCTGCTGAGGCTGCACAGGACAAGCGTAACGCTCCCCAGCTGTTACATGTGACGGTTTAATCAAAGGCATCCTATTTTATGATACGGTGTTTTGGTGAAATAAATAAAAAGTTCAGTTTGTTTCGCACCGGTTGTGCTCAAGGAAAGGCGGAGCTATAATGGGCCTCCTGTGTTTCTTTATGCTTTTTCGTTCTTGGTGGATTTTGTTCTCCTTTTCTCTCTTTTCTCAGTTCTCGCTGCATATTATTTCTGTGTTCATTTCTATTTCTGTTCTCTTTTTTTCTTCATTTATTGATCCTCCATCTTTTCTTTCTCGTTACCCTTCGTACTTGTCACCGTTTCCCGCTTCTTCTTCTTTCTACACAGCTCTCTGTTCCCCTTTGTTTCTGTGCTACCCTTTGCTCTCCCCCTTGCGCTTTCCCCTTCACGATGACCAGGTATATTCCCTCCTCACCCTCGCTTACCTTGCTCTGCCGGAGCGCCTTGCTAGCCGAGTGATTACGATTCTCGCCTTCGGATCACGAGAAACGCAGTAGTTCACGATAGTTTGGTGCCACAGATCACGACAGATGGCTGGCATAAATAGCTCAGCTGTTAAAATATGCAAACCGCTACTCATCGGCATCATCATTGCACTCTATGAAGGCGGCGGCGAGGCTTGTTGGGCACGAAATCTCATTTAGAAGTTGCTCAGGAAATGCGTCCGCGCAGAACTTTATCATAAATTGTGGTATTGTTCTGAAGCATAAGTGTGTGCGATCCCCATCAGGCTGAGGGGGGGGGGGGAGGCGAAGATTTGTTGCAGTGGTCCCAATATTAGGTCAAAGGCAGACCTAAGCCCCACCGCCCACTCCTGAGTGACTAGGAGGGAGGGGGACCCCCGCTGTCTCCGCCCGTACCTAAAGCGCTCTTTTGGGGCGCCATTCGCATTGCGTGTTCTTTTAGCATTCGTCAGATTTTTTCTGGCCAGCATCCGATGTGAGCGGACGTGTTTCGAGCGCGCTCCGACGACTCCCACACTTTCCCGGTGCTCCGCTGTCAAGCCACCGCCGCAGCTGTTGCTACGCTAGGTGCTTGTTCGCTCCTTATCTACCGGCTGAAGCTGATACTGAAATGCTGTTTTCTGAGCTCGTCGGTGGCACCGCCGCCCGGCTAGCTTCCAGCGCCCATTGCTGCTAGTATCACCCCCGTCAAGGTTTTTAGCTTTCATGGCCTCTGCGGAGCCCAGCGTGCTACTAACCGACGTGCCACTACCTGAGGGTATGGACCTACAGGCTTCAGACGACCTGACTGCCTCGGTGACACCGCCGACTTCAACGAACGATTCGGCAAGAATAATCCTTCATGAGTGCTGCTGCTACCAGACACCAACCTATTCGCCCCGAGTGTTGAAGATTGGGCGAGTTGGTTCGTCGTACTTGAACTTGTATAGCGCATTACGGGGAAGAAGAAACGGCAGAGCAGACCGACACAAGAGGACAGAGCGCTAACTTCCAACTGAGCTTTATTGTCAAATTTCATCAAATAAGTAGACCGGCGCAAGCATACAAAACCACCCTAACGCAACGACAAGATAACACACAACATCACACCATCACATATCACACATTCATAGGCGGTTACTCTGATTAAGGAAGGCCACTTCATGTTCAGATAAACCCAAAGAAGGGGCGCTAATACACGTGCTGCCAGCTCTTGCTATACAATGCGCTTCTATAATTTCCCGAGTTAATTGCGACGGGTGCTTTTTTATCACTTCACACTGGTCAAACATGGGGGTACATCCATGACTGCAGCGACGCTGCTTGCCAGCACCTAACCGACGGTATTGTAATGACTTTTAAGGAATGTTTTAAACCGCTTTTATTGACTCATGAGTTGCCAGTTGACAACAGCTTACGCTTTTTAGATTTGAATTTAATTCTTTCACCTGACCATGTGTGCTGGCTATTTGAACCTAGAAATGGAAAACCCCTTTTACCCTATGACTCTTCCCATTCCAAGTTAGTTAAGCGCAGCATCACAAATCTTTCTCTCATCAATCCTCTTAGGAAATCGTGTCATCATGTCATGCATCGCAGCTTTGCTGCTCAAGTTGAAAGGCTTTTGAGTGCTGGGTACCCAGCTATCCTACTGGCGTCTATAGCTGAAAAGCTATTAAAACAGATAAAGAAAGGATGCAACTCCGAGGCCCAGCCGGAATCTAACGACCGAAAAAGACCCGTAGTTTTACCCTACGTGCATGACATTTCCCACCGGCTAAAAAAGATAGGGGAGAAATGCAGCGTCAAAGTGGTGTTTTCAGCGCCAGATAAGTTACAGCGGCTTTGCAAAGCTGTCAACCCTCTCAAATCACACACCACTGGTTGCGCAACTAAGCACAAAACTAGGTTTGTGCCATGTGTAGTGGGGGTTGTTTACGCGATTCCTTTCTCATGTGGTATGTGGTATTTCGGCCAAACGGGGCGATGCCTTAATGAAAGGCTAAAAGAGCACCATTATAATGCTCACAAAGCGATCCAGGGCCACATTGGAATTCACTGTCGCGATTGTGGATGTACCCCCATGTTTGACCAGTGTGAAGTGATAAAAAAGCACCCGTCGCAATTAACTCGGGAAATTATAGAAGCGCATTGTATAGCAAGAGCTGGCAGCACGTGTATTAGCGCCCCTTCTTTGGGTTTATCTGAACATGAAGTGGCCTTCCTTAATCAGAGTAACCGCCTATGAATGTGTGATATGTGATGGTGTGATGTTGTGTGTTATCTTGTCGTTGCGTTAGGGTGGTTTTGTATGCTTGCGCCGGTCTACTTATTTGATGAAATTTGACAATAAAGCTTAGTTGGAAGTTAGCGCTCTGTCCTCTTGTGTCGGTCTGCTCGGCCGTTTCTCCTTCCCCGTAATGCGCTATACAAGTTCAACTATTCGCCCCACTTTGGGAGCTCGAGGAACAGGATACCATTGATGGCAAGCCTTACAATGCTTTTCATCAAGCTCACATAATTTCTACCGCAACAAATGGAGAAAAGCGTGCACGAGGCTCGCTTTTGTCGAAGCCCGAACAACAGCACACTAGCATGCCCAGGGATCACTCCCGCACGAGAAGTGCACGCCACACGCTCTTTGCTTCGGCTAGTTACCAAAACGAAGAAGATGGTTGGATACCAGTCGGCTGTCCCCGAAAGCAACAGAACCGTGCGGCGGTCGGGGGAACGCTGAGCTCAGGTGCCTCTCGCTTTTATAAGCACGCCATCATCCTTCAGCCTAAGCGACAATGCCGCGTCATGGATGAGCAGTTCATACATTTGAATAGAGTAATTACTCGCCGCGTTTCGACTCATCTCAACCTCTCTGAGGAAGACCCACTACCGGTGTTCAGGGTTCGCTACTTAGGCCATAGCAACCAGCTCGCAGTCGACGCGGCTAATCCGGAGGTTTGCGCCCTTCTCACGATAGTGTCTCTGCCAATCGGAGGAAAGGAAGCACTTTTTCATGCATACAAAGTGGTTAATCGCAATCAAATCAGAGGCATCATTCTCAATTTCTGAGACATAAACTAATGAACCCATTGCACTGCCGCAGGTGCAAAATTCTGGAGGCACGCCTCACTTGGTGGCAAAGGCACTGCCTTGATCACATTTGAAGATGACTGCTTACCTTTTAAAATAGGCTTGCGGTCATTTACGGTCTGTGCTTTTTCGTATTGTGTACGAGTGGCCATTTGTGACATATGCCACAAGATAGGGCAACACAAGGAGCAATGCCCCAATATTTGGGCAGCTAGATGCTCGACATGTGGTCTGCGGCAACACGAGAGGGTACGTAATGCCCGAACACAGAACATAAGCTCCGTAACTGTGGGGGTCTTCACCTGGTCACTTCCACGAATTGTCGGAAAAGACGAGAACTAAACAAGAAAATTGAACAGGAACGCAGGTCGGCTGGAAAAAGGCAACGCAAGAAAGGGAACACGCAGAAGCATCAACGCTGCTCCTTCACGACACAAGGTTTTCCGAGATCCACACTCAAACCAACTCGCCAGGGTTTCTTTACCGGGCCGCTAACACCACCAGCTGCGCAGTCGGAAGGCGCCGGGGGCACCACTTTCGCTAATGTAGTTCGACGAGTGAACGTGCCACTAACTGGTTCTAGTAATTGAATACCACATCCATCAAGCTCAACACAGGCGTCCTGTGCGCCGCAGCCTGCCTCGAGGGGAGGGGCGAAACATCCTCGAGGGGGCTTCCGCTTACCAGTGAACATTCACGTCCTCCCGCCCCAACGACACTCCAAAAATTGGATCGGCGACTAGAACACTGTATTGCTCAAATAAACAAGAGTTGAGCAACTTTTTAATCGTGCCATTGAAAAATGTGTCCAAATCACCATGGAGCGCATCATGGTTTCCGGCATGCTCCCTCTTGGCACAACTTCGACGAGAATCGCAGCCGCACTTGTGAGGCGTGCTCCCTCGCTACTGTCAAACTCCACCGCTCCTCACACAACAAAGCCTCACCATGGCTAGTTTTTCAAAATCATTGCAATGCACAACAGTCTTGCATTGGAATTGCCGTTCGCTTTGTCGCAAGAAGGCTAAAATGACCACTTGGCTCTCCAGCAAGACAGATGATGTTAGTCCATTGGTCATTGCTTTTTACGAATTCGGCGGCCCTGCGCTGAAAA